TGTGGATAATATTCCCACTTCAGCCTTTTTTTTTTCTATTAACTTATGTAACAAATTTCTTAAATCATTCTGAACTTTGACAAGCAAAACTCTAAGGCTGTTAATATAGATTAAGTGCTTGCACTTTTTACTCTTGAATGACTTATCTCCATAAAACTAAACCACCAGAGACTCAAGATACAAATCAAAACACCCTTAAATAGTTATTTTTGAACTTGCCACATAGTTAAATTTGATATCCACAGATTCCTCTTTAAAAGGAAAAGCATGTCATTATTCTGCATCTAGCCTCTCTATTCATGCTATTCACAATATTGAATATTTTTCCCCTATTACTGAAGGCAACTCTATAGTATAGAGTCATAGTTAATTAACCCTTCCTATTTTGGAAACTTACAATGTTTTGATCACACCTGCTGCTATTCTACTTTTCTATTTTTACTATAAGTTTTTATACATACTAGAAAGGCTAGACACTAACCTTTCAAGAAGGGACATACATGACTCCCTTCCCCAAAACATGGTAAACACTAAAAAGTTAAATGGTCATCTAAATTATTCCATGATAAATAAAATGAATTACAGAAAAAAAAGGGGACCAGAAGACTACGGTAGAATCCCAGTTTTTCCATAACCAACAACTTGGTTCCCTTAACATTCATATCGGAAGATGACATCTTTCTATGTATCAGGAGTCATGTTTTCAAGAAGTACAATCTATTTTTAGAAACATTTTCTCTGAAATTCCACCAACAAAATTTCAAAGAAGAGCTGTAGAAGACTTACAGTTTAGCAACGGCCCACAACATTTGAGTACCCTTCTGAATGCAGAAAAGTGTTTCTTTGCTTTATAATACAGTCTTAAATCGTTTTGGTAAATTTATTCTTTTTCCTACTTCATGTCATTTGCAGGGTGTCATCCAACTATTCGCAACTAGGTGAGAGTGAACTGATCTGATCAAATTTTTAGGCTCCAAATTCATTGTTACTATTCATCACACAAAGTGACTTTATCTGTAAAATATCTTTCTTCACTTTTATCTGAAAAATAAAATACTTAATCATCACAACTTATAACCCTGTTTTGTTTAGATTGATTGAGCAGTTCACTCCTCTCCAAGAGGAGTGCTCTCTGTAATGCATTATGTCAATTATGCTTCATTACATGTTTCTCTCTCTCCTCCACAACAACCTTAAAATTTTTATGGACAAACCTACACCAATTATTTCTGAACCTTTTCTAAATCAGGATATATCTGCACTTTTGGTGTGAGGTTTTGAAGCCAGTCAGTCAAGGAACCCTATTAGAATTTGGTGAATAGATTCCTAGATGCTTCACTCCTTCCAAAAAGGGGGACATGCAGCGTGCACATACAAGCATAAAAGGAGATAAAGTGGGATTATATTGATCCAACATTTCAACATGACTAACTCGAAACATGACTAACATGACTATCCCTCTCAAAATCTGGGGGAGGTGGAGTGTGGGAAACCGTTTTCTTCAAAATTAGTTTATTTGAGGAAGGGGACATGTTTCCATTTTGCAAGTGTTAATCTTGTGAGACAGTATAAAACGTTCTCTTTTTTTTTCTTTTTTTTCCCCTCCCTTCCCCCGCCTTCCCACTAGAATCCAAGGAGATGAAAAGGGCTGGTGACTAGAGAAGCCAGAAACTTAGGAAGGAGCTCAGACAGTCAAATTAATGTCTTAGAAATGCAAAAGTCAAGCTTCATAAAACAGTCTCTATCAAAGCAGCATTGGTTGGTATTAAGGATTAAAGGATGAAAATACAGTCACCCGTTCAATCCTCTATCAATTTTGCTGTTCTTTTTCTCAGTACAGATAATCAGGCTTTGTTTACTACATTTTACTCATCTAATTCTCTTGAGTAGTGGCACAGCATTATGATCTTTCTAGTTCTAGAAAGTTTTGTTTATCATATTTTATTAAGAGAAAGATCCCTAGAAAAAAGATCTCAGCCAAAGTGGAGAACAGAAGGAATCTTGAAGGCACCAGACACGCAAGAGGGGGCAGCAGAGCAAGGACAAGAAGCAGAGCAAGGGAAGGCCAACACTCCGAAGGCAGAAGCAGCCTGATAAAACTAGAGAGTTTAAGTAGGGAGAAAGGTGAGAAAAGCTCACAAAGATTAAATTTGCTAATTATTCTAATCAAAGGTTAAAAAAAAATACAGCTAATCCAAAAATATTTAGTGCAAGTCTACCAGAACATGCAATTTGCTCATTTATTTGAAAACTTAAGATTTAAGACATTATTTTAGCAGCAATAACTAACACAATCATTATTTCTTGAAAACACCAATAAAAATAGTTTTATGAAGTCTAAAGATTATGATTCAGTAAAACACTGTATCTCTGCTTTTGGAAAAATATGTTCATCTTACATTAAAACACACAGAAAGACTCCTTTAGGATTTATTTTTAATGGTTAAAATTAAATGGTTAAGATATGCATTTAGGTAATTCCAAACTGAATCATGGACAAATTATTATTATTTTAAAACAAACAAAGTGAAAGCCCTCTACTGACAGTGCAGAGCCTTTTCTCCATACAACTCAACTTTGCTTCCTTGCTTACTGTCTAGAAAACAGAAGCCTTATTTTGAGACCCTAACTTCACATAGCAACCTCCAATGTTTCTTCAAATCCCATCCATTTGCAAGCTAAATTCATCAATCTTGATTGTCATGCTCAAAGCAGCTTAGTAACTGGATTTAGGTACCCCTTCTGTTCTCTCCCTTCATGCAGATACTTCTCTAACATCCATCTTAATTATTTCTTTTCTTGTGTTGCTTTACCAATCTCTTCACACAATATCCTTGCAGTACCCTATGATACATGAAAAAGCACTACGGCACAAGCTGCCTCTCCATGGGGACATGACAATACGTTAAAATCTAACTAACTAACTAAATCCTCAGCATGAATACAGCAGCAAAGCATCTACATGATTTTAATGCGGCCATAGGTGGTTTTCCTTCTTTTCTTCTCACTTACTCTACTAAGAAAAAAAGTCTTTACTGTTTTGGCTGAACTAAGGCAACCCAAAATCTAGACACCACAGGCTGCAACACAGAGTGGAACACTACAGGGCTTCTATGACTGTGTCAACCTGCCTGCAGATTCAGATTAAATTATGCTATGTTTTGCAGGTTTATAAAGCAAGGCAGATTAACACAGAAATGTTGTTAGATATGGTCTTAGAAAACAAACAAAATCCTTCAGAAATCCTGACTGCATCATAGGACTCCAGGAGCTAAGGACTCATTTATCCCACACCAATCCCAGTAACGCAGAGAAATCTGCTTTCAAAATAGTTTTACTGCAATTAAGAATTATCTAATAATTCACACATACTATGTCTGCTTAGATAATTGGGGTCATCGTGTGCCGGAAACAAGAATATGGCTTTTGTCACTTAAATACTATGCACCTACAAGTACACTTTAGTAATCATTTACAGTTAATGCACGGCAAGCTGGTTGAATGTATTTTAAAAAATATTTTCTAGGGGAAAAAAAGAGATTTTTCAGAAATAGGTTTACATTATCTATTTTACTTAAGATCATTTCTCACCTTTAACTGTGTGCCTTAGAAATAGAAAACACTCCCGAAATTTCTAAGTTTCATTTTCTCTGTACTCTACATTCCTTGATAGAAGAAATATTTAAGTTATAATATTCACACAGTTCACAGCTGAAAGTGGATACCTTTCATTTCCCAAAGCAATATGGAGCAAAATACATTTTTTTTTCCCCACAGTGTTCAAGACTACGCAAAATTGGATCATGTCTTTACTAGGAAAGAAAACTAGATTTGGTCTATTTTCTACTTTTTTTTCAATTTGGGAAGCTGAAACAAATTTGAAAGTCATTATATATCACTAATTTGAAGCTTAAGTTTGACATTGCTTTATAAGTTTTCATCTAAACTAAAAGCTTAATATATCTTGCTATGACTTTATTTATCTTTCTTGATACATTCCTTATTAGCATTTTATCATCAATTTCTTCAATGTGGTAAGTTCCTGTGCCAGTACAATGAGGTAGTTTAGATCTCTAATCTCCTGTGCAGTCTCAGCTAGGCTTAGCAACTCTCCAGTGATATGAAATTATCATATTTCCTAGGAAGGATAAGGTAATGAGAACATATTAAAAAATAAAGGGTATCCTGAGGTGTCCTGCCATTTTCTGGTGCAAAATTAAGGGAAGAGGAAAGGAAAAAAAGTACTAAACAAAACATCAACTCTGAGTACAAGGAAATTCATAGCATTCAGTGAATAAGGATAAAAGGGTGTTTTTTTTTTTTGCAATAATAAGCTATCATGCATTGCATAATGATTAATAAATTTGATTGTCAGATGTAGAAATTTAGAAGTATACTCTAAAAAAGAAGCTGTGACTGTGGCACAGAATTCTAGAACAAAAACAACTCTAAATTGCTTTTTCTGAAGAGTGGTACATTATAGCTACTTGAAAAACAGATTGAAATAAAATGAAAGTGAACCTTTGAAACCTCTGTCTACGTACCCTACTACTTCAGCCACCTGCTTAGAGCTTCGCACAATGGTTTTCCACACAAAAAAGAATAATTTTACTTAACTGAGGAATATTTCCTCTGATTTATCTTGTGATCTCCATCATGTAAGTCCTTACCAAAGACCTTCAAAAGTTTCAAAAAAAATTACTTTTGTCAACTGAATTGTATAACCTGCAAATTTAATTAACCTAGAGACCCAAATGTCACAAATTAATCTGTTAAGACTCATATTCATGCACGCATGATGAGAAGAGTTTTCTGTCTGAAAACAGATGGATTTAATATTTGTATGAAATCGATTTACCTTTAACCTGCTTCGTACAACTCCTGTTCTGTATTAACATTTAGAGACATGCATTTGCTTCAGAGACATGCATTATTATTCAGCATTTTCAGTACTGAGATTTTAGCATCATGAATTACAGAGAACGAGGAAAAAAAAATACTTGGCGAGATAAGACACAGACCTTGTGGGAAGGGTACAGCAGCCATCAGCCGTCAGCCTGACTTGAGTCTCATAGCTATCCAGTGGACAAACAACTTGCTGAACAGGAGGGCATTCTACCGTGCTGCAATCCACGCTGAACACTAAGGAAAGGAGGGAAAAATGTTTTATTCAGGCTTTAGAAGCTGTCATCATTTAGAAGTTTGCATGAGGAAGCAGGTAGGCATCAGTCAGAGGACTCGAGTGCAATTTCTGTAGTAGCAAAGTGCTTTCATTCCCTTTAACATTAGCTTTTTGAAACTGGAGCAGTCCATCTAACTAGTAGTTAACCTCTAACCTCCAACAGTGGCAATTAATCACGCTAGTTAGGGAGAGCCAGTGCTACTCTATGTGAGCCATTCCCTCACATTCTGTCAGTCTCCAAAATCATTCAATTTGGAGTGTTGCAAAGCATAAACGATAAAATATACACCTACTCAATCTTTAAAAACGGTTTATGTACCTGTTTACATTAATTAAAAAAACAAAACCAAAAAACTTCTGAAAGTGGTTGTCCTACAACCCCCTGTGGCAGCAAGTTCCAACTGTTCCCTGCCTGCTGTGTAAATAAGTATTTTATTTGTTTTGAATTGATCTTACCAGCACCAGAGTGCCCTCTAGTTTTTGTAAGGATTAGTTGGATTTGATGAACAAAGGACGAGCGGGCAGCTTATCTACTACCTTCAGAATGTGATAAGCCACATTCATGCCTCACCACAGCATTCCCTCCAAAGGGGAAGATCTTTATTATTACATTAAAAAAAGGAAACAAAAGTTCCTGGTTATTTCAAACCAAACAATTGGTTTCTCAAACTTGATAAGCACTGAGCCAATCTTCCAGAAAAACTGAAAACACTGCAGGGTTACAGAACATTCTGTAATTGTATTCTTCATTACATCAGTAAATTAAAAAAAAAAAATTACTCCCCCAGATGAATTTTAAGATCACCCCTAAGAAACAAGCAACAGACATTTGCTACTGAAATATTAGTTCTGTTTTCATGCCTTATTTTGACTTCACTGATTACATAAAGTATACATTTCATGAAAGGGTTTATTTTTATTAGCTAATAAAAAGTTTTATGTAAAAGTAGTAAATGAGTAAAAAAAAAAGTTTTGTGCATTCAGGAAATGTTCAAGCTTTAAGTATACAGTTTGATTAACACATCACTCCAAGAAATCCTAAATATGCTGCAATTTCCTATTGCTGAACATGTTTTTTGCGAGCGTTTGCTTAAGGATGCTCATGGATTTTCTTGTGCACTGAATTTGTTTACAGTAGCACCTTTGGACCCCTCATTTTTCTATTTGTGAAATTATAGCAGAAGCCATACAATAGTTTCACACCATGACTCAGCTGCGGTAATTTTCCGCCACCTTTCTGGACTGTAAAACCTAGGCTCCCTCTTCATGAAAATGTTAATGGCTCAGGTGAAAATAACTTTATAGTAGAGTATGTTGACATGAATACATTAAGTTTCACCTCCACGTACTACACTGACTTTTTAAAGAACAGCATGCACAGCTCAGGAACAATACCAAAATAGCTACCTATGCATCTAAAGATCTGGGATCAAGGTAGTTTTTGCATTTCTCACGCTAAGGAGTGGCTCAGCACAGGAAAGACCGAGTCACTTCTTTCCAAGTGTCTAGTACAAGAGCATAAAGTTAGCTTCTACAGCAACTAAGAATCATAACATAAACCATTTGCTTTGAATTTTGATGCACTTCAAATAGTCCTTCATAAATAACAAGATGCCCCATGAAAACATTTGAGAGGGTTAACTCCATTTTCTCCTTTGGGAGAAGGCGATGGAAAGGAAGCATGAAAGCCAATGCTGCTTCTTCCCTGCAGAAGAGGGTGATGTGACATCCAAGCATCTTTCAGTAGGGATTTGTTTACTTTTCCCTGAAACCCATCCTTCTTGCATTCCTTCACATTTTAGAGAATATTAAACACAACCACTAAACATTATGTTTTCCAGACTTTCAGTGCAGTTTCCTGACATATTTTGCCATCCTTTGAATCCTTCGGGTATTCAGAAACTGCATCTTTCCATTTCAACCCCTATTTCAGCAAACACACACACACAGAATTCATGTGTTATCCATACACACAGAGAAACAGTAATACACCACTGTACATACAATAGTATAAATGCATGCACAGAATAAATGATATAAAATAGCATAGGAGAGGCAGGTTGGACTAGGTGATCCCCAGAGGTTCTTCCAGTCTATAGGATTATACAATTCTTTGATAAGAGTCTATGAACACACAACATTTTACTACTTTGGAATGTATTCTTTGGAGTAAGTAAAGAGATAATATTTACTATATTGCTTAAAAACAGATGCACAATGATGACCATGACAGAACACTCATTGAAATTTTCAATCATGGAAAACAAAGCCTCTCCAAAAACTGAATGAACTTCAGATTTTAGAAGATTTACCAGTTTAAAAAATAATAATTCTTCCATGGCAGTATATAGTCTACTAAGATTTGACAACATCAGTCTACTCCTTTCCCTGTCTTCCAGCCTTGTTGGCTGGCTCTTCTTTTGTGATCATCCTACCACTTCAAACACTTGGCAAATGATTTGAAGTATCTATATGAAAGTTATAAAAATGAATTGTGAGGACTGCTGAAGTGTAACTTGACAAAAATTGGGCTATGAGATGACTAACAATTCCAACTGTACTTCAGCTCTCCTCTCTTGCCTCTAAAGCCAAGGCACTAGGACAAATAGGGGCTCCACTTGCTGTGCACCCAGTATTTTAACCACTACATCTTTCAGCACCTAACATCCCATGGGCACAAGAGAGTATTCCCCTGCACTTTTCAGCTTCACCACTGTGCTCTCACCCTTCTGCTGTTGAAGTGACTGCCCTCCCTTCTCTCCTCCCGCTCCAGCCTCGCCTTTCAATCCCCTCATTCCAAAACAGGCTCCTACTACTTCTTTTACTCCTCTGTGATCCTTCAGGATTGTCACCTTATCTAGCCTCCCATCGCACACCACTCAACTCAGGCTACCTGAATCACACTTCCATCATCTCCCTAGGTCTCCTGCTCACTCCTTGCCCTTGCCCCCTCCATTTCTAACCTCCACTGCACTACACTTCCCTTCAATGCCATCAATCTCCTTCCCCAATTTCTCCAAAGTCTTTGCTCCTCTACCCTCCAACGTACAACTTCACTTCTCCAGTTCCATGTACATTTACCTTCTACAATTCCCTACAATTTAAAAAGCAACAACAAAAAAAGCACTTCAGGAAACAACACAAAGTTACACTGATATGCTAATGCAAGTAATCACATACTTATTCTGAATATTCTATAAGGCTAACAAACCAAAAACAACCTTCAAAAAGTACCCTAGAGAGTTAAGTCCTGATCTGAGTTCTTTATAAATTACCAACAAGAACAGATGAGAAATATTAGAGCTAAAATTTATGCTGAGAAACTAAGAACATAATCCAGTCAGTAGAGTAAAATTAAATAAAGATATATTTGAAATATATTATGAGAAGAATTTAAGTGTACAAATATGATGATTCAGTGGCAGTTCTGCAGTGGAAAAATCTTGGGATAACAGTATTTCACAAATTAAGTACAACAAAAGATTCAACTTTTATTTAGAATTTTGCATGAAAAACACAGAAAACAGATGAAGGTTCAACCAAAATACTGCTCTGCCTTTGGGCACCATGTTTCAGGGACATGAACAAATCCAAAAAAAGCCTTAGAGAGGAACAAGATAACAGTCAAGAAGTGAAGGAGATGGTGCCACAAGAAAAGCTGACTTGCTTATTGATGAAAGAGGGCTAAGGCAGAGAAAATGTTCCAAAGAAAGCTATAAAGACTTGTTTGCTAGCTACTCCTGGACAGGGAAAGTTTGTTTAAATTTTCACCATGGTAGATTTGCATTAGGTATTAGGAAAAACTGAGAAGCACTAGAACAAAGACTTCTCTGGAGGTTTTCAAGGATATGTTAAATGAACATAGGTAAGGTATAGCCTAAGTATACTTGAACCTGCTTTCAGATTTTGTATTACAGAATTGTATGCAACTGTTTTCAGGTTTATATTCTTATTAATTATCTCTGCTCAAGCTTGAATGACACAGAAGAGTTAGTTATACCTTCCGCTTCACTAAGAAAAATAAATCACAAAAGATTATTTGTGGTCCTATGAAATAGAAAAGCAGACAGACACTGGAAGTACTGCTGTTTCACTATGTTCTCCTGCAAAGCTACAGAAACTTTAAGACAGTAATCTTAATTCCATGTCCATGAACAATAGATTTCTATATAAAAAACTTTGTATAATGTAATCAAGTGTGCCACTTTCATTAGAAGTATTCATTGTAATACATTATTCCCAGCACAAATTTCTTTAAATGGAGTAACAAAGGAAAAGAAAGAAAATAAACTTTTTATAATATTTCTCATCTACGTTTTTAAAGGGTGGCTGCTCAGAGAATAACTGAAAACTTGCAGAATATTCAGAAGAATTCAGACGATATACCGGCTTTGTTGGATACCAATCATATAAATTATTGTGCGTATTAAACAGACAGTGGAAATAATGCAAGATTAAAATGAAAAAGAAACAAAAAATAAACAACAACAACAAAAAGGGTCCATTTTTACCTGGTTTACATTCATAGAGATCACAGCATTCCCCAGGCTTTCCTGATGCCTTAGAAACCAGTATATTCAAATAGCCAGGCTGGCAAACTTTCCTCAAGCAACCTGCAGGATTACACACGCAGCGGCTCGGGAGCGGGCAGCATTCCCCGGGCGGAGCGTAGCCTTCGATCAAGATGGAATCCTCCGGACAGCGAGGGGAGAACTGGACCTCGCAGCGGGCCTTGGAGCAATCGGGTTTCTCTTCTGAAAGGGAGAGGAAAAAAATATATATATATATTAACATGTCATATACATCAGTCAAACACTGTACTGAAGCTTATGCTTTAAAAAAGAAATCGGATTCCCTCCTCTCCCCCTCCAAATAAAAAGGAAATTGCTTCTACCAAATCGTTTTGCAAAATGGGATATACCTAAAAACACCTTGATATTTGCAAGACAAGAAGCACGTTACTAAATTTTGCACAAATATTCTAATTTTAACTATACTCAACTCACAGCCTCAAAAGCAGCTGGGAAACAAAGCACTTCATCTTGATATTAAGATGCAACTTGTCAAACCACGCACAGCCCTCACGTTCACATCTGCACCTTTAGCTCCTGCACTTTCCACTACAAGAAACTGATTTTAGCTGATCGATTTCTTACACTTGAATGACCCAAACTTAGATTTCACAAACCTCAAACCTTGTTAAAAGTTCACCAGCTAACCTATATGAAGAGTCCATAGGGAACCTACGCATGCTTTGATAATATCAGAACACTGTTATAAATTTCAATGCTTTGAGCAGTGGAAAAGACTTGGCTAACTTTTAAAAGTTTATCTCTAGTGAAAATACCAATGACAAATTAAGATGCATTAAACAAAAAGCAATACTGTTTGCATAGATGGATGATTTTCCTACTTTGATTTAGTTTCACTTAGAGGGACATGAAGCCTACATATGTTAATACTTAGAAAAATGGTATTGTAGGTTATTATATTTTACTGAATTTCAGCTAGCAAATATATCACGACAGAGTCAAAAAACAATTTCACATATTGCTTTAAAGTACAAGCACTCTATATTTTTCTTACAGGCTATACAGATTAGTAAATTACACGTGTTATCAACAATGTCGTAATTATTTTCTTTCAGTTAAGGACAAGAAAACACAACAGTACTTCCATCTACCTGGTAAAATTGCTTTGGTTAGGTATGTTCTTTGCCTAGACTTTTATATAATGTTTCTAACACCATTAAAACAAAACACACACAGTTATATTGCCCTTAATTTAAGCTATTATCTACTTCACTAAACTCTTCAGACTGAACATGACTGGTTATTAAGTTTCATTGCAGAAATATAGCTGTAAAAACAACACATAGCTGCTTTTCGTAGTTTAGGGAAACAGTTTAAAAAATTCAAAACTTTAGCTTTTTAAAGGATGTATTTTCCATCACCACTGCCTTTTGTTCAGCTCTTCACCCACAGTAGTGATCAGACAATAGCAAAGGAGAAGCCTTTTAAGTTATGCTCACTATAGACCCTTAAAATTACACTGTTACTTGTGAGCTGCCCAAGCATCACACATTCAGTAATAATTCTGATTTTTATGACTGATAATCCTATCTTCATGCAATACCTTCTGTGATACTCCTATTGTACATATTTAAGTATGCCTAACCATGATTTTACTTGATTGGATTTGCCTATAAGCATATTTTACCCTAAAAGCTCTGCCTGCATGGTCTGCAGACCATGCTCAGGACAGCACTGCCCAACTTAAGCTGACTTTCAGAAACACAAGAGCTGTCAAAGAGCAAGTGAAACAGCAGCAGTTAAACTATTCAGGATTTTAGATATACTTATGTGGAACACCAATGCAAAGCCTACTGCTGGAGTTGATAAGATCACCTAGCAAAGCACCTGAAGAAACAAGCTGGCACCAAGGGGAGGTTGTCAGAAATATAACAACCAGTGGAAAGGAGAAAAAACAATCTTAAATAGAAAGTCATGGCAAGTACAATTACCTGAAATGTTCACTCCTTGCTTTATAGTTATAACTTTTTTTCCACATTAGAGTCTTATGTCCAATACAACTAATCGTAACAGAATACAATGGGGCTCCCCAAACTGCAAATATTTAATACAATATTGCTTTATTTGTAAGAGGAAACGGTTTAAACACATTGTGTTTGTGTTTTTTTTTATAAAATTGCTTAAGGGCAGCAGATACTTACAAATCAAACACAAGATTTCTTCTTAAGGAAGTAACAACTACTTCTGGACTCTATACCAAACAAAAACAAAGAAACAAAACAACAATCACCACCACCACAAACCTACTGCTACTTCTACAAACGCCTTATTTTCAAATTATAACCTCGAGTTACATAGGCTGTAAAAAACTGCCCTCACAGTATGGAAGTGATGTAAGTGAATTGCAGAAAGGCCAGATCTATGAATCCAAGTCGCAGCAGTCAACATGATTTTCATACAGGTTCCTTTTTGCTTGGCCATATCAGAGTCAAAAGTGGCCAAGGTGACATGATTTTTCCATCATTGATTTTATCGTGTTTTCCTTGTGGAAGAAGGCAGCAAGAGGCTAATGTGATCTGTGACCTGCAGTATTAAAAGGGCGTCCTTGAAGACTCCCTTCCCTTTGTACTTGGGAAGCAACTGTCATCTCGGAGATGAGAAGGCGGCAGTTCCCACCACAGGGTTAGCGCATCTTTTCGTTAGCGCTTTAATCAGCTGGCACCTTCTGTTTCACTGCATCTCAGGAAAAGCTGATGAGGGGCTCTCATTTTAACGCCAGGCCAGAATAGAAGAGACTGCTTTTAAGCAATATTAAGAAAATTTCAAGGTTTTCTTCTTGGCATCTTGGCAAATGGCACACTTGCAAGGCTATCCACTTTTTCTAATTACAAGGATAGGATTTTATATACAAGGCATATTTCTAAAATCCATTGTGCTAAACTTGTTTATCTTTTCATTCCTTGATCCAAGAAGGCATGGAAATTGAATTTGGTCCCAAAATAAACGATGACAAACATGAATACAGCCATAAATGTCACTGTTTTAATAGGATTCCTGATTTAATTCTATTACCTACAGCTATTCAGGATTTCATCAAACAAGAGGAATTGCTTGTTTAATAGCTCTTTTCTCCTTTATTAAAAAAACACTTCCAGCCCTTACAAAAGTAACACAGAAGAAAACATCTGTCAAGGCAGAATAATTAAAAATACGATAAAAGACTACCTCAGACTGAAAGCTAAGGCAATGGCAAGCTACATTTCACAAGGAAATAACTGTAAATTAACTCACCAGCGATATTTTTGCCATGCTACCTTTTTATAAATCAAATCATGGCTATTTCGAGGTGGCTTCTCGGTAGGTCAAAACCTTCCGGAAGGCAAAACCAGCTGCTCTCCATTACATGAACCAGGCTCTTCCTACTCAACATCTCTCAAGTCAAGCAAGGGATCAATACTTAAACTTAGTTTATCTCATTTCATAATAAAGAGACCATAAATAGTTACTTTACTAGAGAATTTCCCATCCCTCTGTTAGCTCAGAAGCAAGACATCTTCCTTTTCCAAAGCAGCACACCAAAAAATCTGATCTTCTATGAAAGGAAGGACTATGCATATGACTTACTATGAAATAAATTAGCACAGGATATATGCAAAAGTCTTAGTCCTCAAAAAGAATTATCCTAACATGTATTTATTATGGGGCAAAAGAATACATATAGGTCATATTTTCCCAATCCATATTGTACATACCCTCACAATAGCAATATTATGTAGGCACAATGCAAATAGGAGAAGAATAAAGCTGTCTGTTAAATCAGATGTCTTCTTTTCTTAATAAAGAGTTTGTGCTCAGAACACAATTTTTATACTAATTAAATTATGTATTTATAAACATGTAATTCATCATCTCACCCTTGAGATGGCTAATAGGTCTCATTTAATAATTGTTAGCAAGGCAACAATAATTCACAAATTAATGCAATGCAGAGTTGCAAGCACTCTACAGAGATAAAGGAAGAGCCTGGCTCAATAAGGCAGGGAGTCACATGAGTTACCTATTTGAAGCCAAGGAGGCCAGTACATTTGGAGCCAGAACATTCTGGAATGTGTCTGGAAAGATGACATTTTGGCAATATGAACACAATCCAACTAAAGTAATTGACATTCTGAAAAAGTCGAAGGAAGAATCTGATGGATCCTTGAAAACAATTTTCAGAATGTCTACTCAAGAAGGCAGCTTTGCAAATTGTTTATATAACATCATTTGGCTTACCACTGGCACTGCTACCTTCAGGTATATGTTACAACCGTATGATATTTGCACAAACCCATATTCTGTAATTAATTTTCCACAAACCTGAAGGATCATGCTTATTGTTACATTGCAACTAGCCTCCAAAAACCCACCACTAGTACGACAGAGGACAATGTACAAAACCCAAGAATAACCTAACCATGTAAACAACGTGTGGCATGTTTTAGAATAAAGAGAGCTACATACAGTACTCATTTATTTAAAAGTCAGAATTCAACCAAAATTCAATACTGAAATCCTAAGATTTTCACTTTAGAAGGACACAAGAAGCTGTTGAACCTCAGAAGCCATGGCATAATGCTGTTGCAATTGACCTTTCTCTGCAGCCACAATATGTTTGTTCTAAAGTTCATGAGTGGTAGGAGAGCAATGGACAGAATAACAGAAGTGAGAAGTCAGGATTTGAATTTAGGTGGGAGGAGTTTTTGCCATTAGCATTCAAGAGGGCCTGTCAGGAAACAACAGTCATAAAGGTAGATGCAGATACAGAGAAAATGTATGAATTGTGGGTATCAAAAGCAGCTACATAATTTTAAAATTTTGTTTCCCATGACCTTATGAAATTAGTAAGGGAGGTTTTGTAGACTGCTAAACTCTATTTTACAACCAATGCTTTCTCTGAAAGAAGGTAACTTTACATTCGTTCAAGATTTATTCAGTACTGGACCTTTAAAGTGGCCTTTAGTTAGCAGTATTTATCAAGGCTAAAAACTGAACATAGGAAGTCTAGATCTCAATTTATTTTTCTCTTTGCAACCTGAAAAAAGCCCACCCAAACACAAATCACATACCCACATACCCACACCCCTCCCAGGCAGCTGGGCTAATCCCAAAGCAGTGCAGAAATCAGGATAGGTCCCGAAGAAGAATTAAAAACTTAGCTTTCACCTCTGTATCAAATTCTT